GGCCCCCCCCCCCCCCCCGAGAGGCAACACACACCTCCCGCACCCCCCAGTAAATCCATCCCTGATTATTTTATTTTTACATACCCCATCTATGCATCTAATCTGGGCAAATCAGAGATTTTCAGGGCCTGTTGTAGGGTACTATTTTCCCTGAGGCCCCTATGACATACTTTTAGCCCATTGAGTGTCAGCACTCACCTCTTGATGAATAAAATTGTCTGGCATTGGACAGAGTAAAATAATAAAGTAGGGCACATCAGGCACATTGCCACTTAAAGTAGCAAACACAGTTCTACCCCACTTTCTTGAAGGGAGAAATTTAACCCTTAAGTGGTACTTCACTCTCTAACACCATACAGTTTTACTCACTAAGGAGAGAGCCTCTTCAGGTTGTTCAGACACAAGCTATATGCAGTTTATCATATATTATATATATTATATGGTATATACCTGCACCTTAAACTCACATTCATTATGTTTCATTGCTTCCCAAAACTGTGAAAGCTGTGAAACATAAATATAGTCATAAGTTTCTTCAATATACAATTACTTTATGGTTTCTGTGTTTGGATGGCCTGATCCAAACACGCGGAATGTTGCGAGAGTTAAGAAAAGCGTTAAGTTTTGCGCGCTTTTCTTAACTCAAGCAACATTCCCAAGTGTTTGGATCAGGCCATCCAAACAAGAAAACCATAAAATAATTGTTTTATAAAATAACAACAACACGATAGTCTTCCGTGTTTGGATGGCCTGATCCAAACATGGGTTTCGACGAATCAGAGCACGCGTTATATACATGTTATTTTATAATTTTAGATGAAGGTAGCAATGATAAAGCTCAAACAACTGACACAATCACGTGGAATCCCCATGGAAACCTATCAACCCTTGGAGACCCCAGTTCAAGGGTGACTGCTATAGCAGCACTCCTGGAGAAGCACGAGCAAAAGGTCACTCGAAAGCCATCAAAATATGTTTCCAGTTGCACCATTACGAGAGCAGATAGGATGGAGCATGAACAAGATTTAAGCAAGGCTGTAAGTATATTGAATGAACCTCTCCTCCACCGATGCTTCAGAGATTGGCAATTCCTTTTTTTCTACTCTGCAACCGGAATAGTAGATTTTGAAATTTACTACTCCATTTGAAGGTCCACTATTTCTTTATCTCAGTTATAAAACGATACGATATAAAAGCAATATAACAACTGTTGTTAAAAAGTTGTTATATTTATTCGGAGTATAACTTGAATGATTATTCGCTGCTAAGGCTGTCTTATGCCAGTACAGTCTTGAACAGTTCTGTGTCAGCTAGTGTAGGTATTAAATGCCAATAATAAGAAAGCTTCGGATGGATTGAATACAACAACTTGAAAAATACAAGGAGAACTTCGACGAGCGAAGCCACGAAGGTCCTTCGAAGGGCCTTAAAACGTCGAAGTTCTCCTTGTATTTTTCAGGTAGTTGTATCCCTATCAATCAGAAGCTTTCTTGTGTCAGTACACAATGAAATGTACATATAACTAACTTTTTGATAGGCTTTGATTAATTTAAGTCATTAAGAGCTTCAATTTTGTGTTAGGGTTCCTCTTCATCACAAAAAGATTCTGAAACGAACGATAAGCGTTCAGAATTGCTGAAAAGAGCTCCGGTGGTTCCTTTCGGGATGGATCTGTACAATTGGGAGAGGAAAGAAGACGAAGCTCCTTCAGTGACCAACTTGAAATCTTTGCATTGCTATTGGACTCATCCGAATGACGACAACGAAGACCATTGTCCGGGTGACATCAAGGAATCCATGAAATCTCGAAGTATCCGGTTTGCTGGGGAGTTTGAGGAGATCAAGTGGGCTTGCCGCGCTCCGTTACCCAGTGGTAAACTATGTCCTAGAAAGGATAGGTATGTAACCCAGTGGTAAACTATGTCCTAGAAAGAATAGGTATGTAACGTGAACATCACACTAATGTTTCTTCTAAATTTTTGCAAGTGACGTCACAAAACATAATTCAACATATTTGTTTGACTTTCACCATTTTGGGTGACAAATACCTTACCTGGGAAAATCCTATACCTACAAAGTGTAATCTATGTAATGCGCGTTCTAATTTAGTTACTTATTGTAGCTATTCAATGTGTAATTTTCATATTAAACATTAAACAACATAAATCTCACTTTTATTTTACAATTTACGCAATACATTTATATTATAGGTACAAGTGTCCATTCCATGGGAAAATCATCCCCCGTGATGCAATGGGGCGCCCCGAAGGAAGCTCCAGCGAGAGTGACGAGGCAGCGGATTGTAGGACTCAAGAACTTGATGAAGTAACGAGAGATATTGAACTGGCGACGGGAATGGACCTCGGAAGCAAGAAAGAAAAGAAAGGGAAAAAGCGAAAGCATTCTGGGCTGACAGATTTGAAGAAGAACTCAAATACGAGTCGAGCACGCTTGGAGAAAATTGTACTCAATAAAGAAGCTCTCAAACGGGTTGCCGAGGAAACAGACAGAGTGAGAAAGAGTATAATTGATGAAAAGTTTGGAAACAATTGGAACTACGCTTTGAAGCCAACTTATTGAGTGGAATACTGAAATGGAACAGGTTCTTGTGCAGTTGTGTGTGCTTTAGCACTGTAACAAGGGCTTGAACTCACAACTGATAGTTGCCTATACTCTTTGAAAATATATATATTTTACTTGATAATTGACAAACGATGAAAATAGCAATTACGAAGTGGAACTGTATGTAGGAACTGTTAGTACTGTTCTTCAGTGTTGTTTAATATGTGTATTGTTGCAATTTATTTATTTGGGCCCGCAGTGATTGGCAATTACGCTGTTGCGGATTCCCTGCCACTAAGGCAAGTAGGACATACCATACTTACAGTTGTAAATAGTTGGCTTTTTAAAAAAGCGTGGCATTCTCCTGAAGATGATATTAAACAATTTAACAATTCACAGAGTGTGTATTGTTTTGTGTTTAATTACCATACTTAAGACTGGTTTATACTATCAAAGTTTCTGTGATCAAAGTAGGAGTTTTGCATCGGTAAATTCTAAGTTTTGAAGGATTTGTAAGAAATGTTTGATGGAACCATAGACAATCCAGAAGGCTTCTGTCTTTTGGATTGTCTATGATGGAACTGACTCAGTATTAAAAGACATTAAACACTTAATCAGTTCCCTCAAACATTTCTTACAAATCCATAGTGTAAACCAGCCTTTACATTAGTGCATGAAATAAAGCCCCAGTCAAACGAGGATGAGAGTTCCAACTTTCGACGCTTTCTCGATGTATGAACAACCGAAATACCTTCCGTAGCCTTCCTTGGCATTCCTTAGCGTTCCCTAGCCTTCCTCAGCCTTCCTTAGCCTTCCCTAGCCTTCCTTAGCCTTCCCTAGCCTTCCTTGGCCTTCCTTGGCCTGACCGTCTCCCATACACTCTCAGTCTCACGCAACTCTTTCTCGTCCGCCCAGAGAGCAAGAGTGTTCAGACCACATTTCATGCAGTCTCGCTTTTCAATTATCATCGTATAATTGTCTCCTATGTCAATTTCATCAACTCCTATAAATCTCAATTCTCATCATGTGATATAATTAGCAATAAGCAAGTAGTATTAAATTAAAAATTCCGAGGAAATCTTCGAAAATTGAAGAGCAGTCCGGTCAGAGTCCAGTCCAGTTATTCCAAAGATCCATGAACACGGGAAGTACTGGAAACTACTTATCCAAAAAACCAAGATGGCGGCGAAATCGAAATATTTGTGCATTTTATAATATAAAGGCTCTGTGTAATAATATTTCGTCACATTAACCTTGAGAAGTATAAAATTCAGCTATTGTTGTACGTTTCCCCTGTATTTTTTGTCGAAAAACATATCTCGTTACGGGTAAGTACAAAGAAAAGTACAAAATGGCCCAGAATCAAGAACAAGATTTAAAGCAGGTATTAAGCATTAAAAATACTTTCATTCAATTGAGAACCTGCAATTTCCAATCTTACTGGTCACTATGGATGGGAGGTTTTATATCATATGCACATAAAGCCCCTTACTCTATGACAGAGTACTGACTGGATAATTATTGAAAACCTTGTATCTGTGACATTTTAGATCCAGTCTTTTCTGCAATCCTATAACAAATTATCAGAACTTTGCTTTATGGACTGTATACAAGATTTCACAAATAGAACTATATCAAGTAATGAGGTATGTTTGTACTGAGTACCTTGACGGATTGACAATATTAACACCAAGCACTTTTTCCTTGACGAGTAAAATTTTATGTGTTAGACAGTGTAAAATAACACCGTAGATTGTATTATAAAAAATCGATTATAGATACAGGCGTATCTCAAACTAATTTTTTCATAGTATGTGCAATGTAATGTTCTAAGAAATCCAACTTGTTATCTGGGAACAACTTGGAGGTTTAATTAATAAATGAATTATTAAATCTAAATTAATAAATCTGCATAATCATATTAGAAATTTTAGGTAATCATATTAGCAACAATTGTTTTATGCAGGGTATAAAATATATTGGTTCCTTCTTTGTCTTATTTCAGAATGGTTGTGTAATGAATTGTGCTGAGAAATATCTCAAGATGACTCAAAGGCTTACATTGAGACTGCAAGAACAGCAACAAGTGCAAAGTGAAGGCCTCATATCTGCTGGACCAAAATAACAACATTACAAACTATTAATTATTTATAAGAATGTTTGCTGATTGTGAAACCCACAATGACTGTGACTGGATATCCATTGTAGTTCAGACTGGGTTCTGCAGGAACTTTCACACCTAGTATGCTCATATTCAAAAAACATATAACTGGTCAACAATTTAATTTCAAAATTTATTTATGAAAATATCTCCCATGTTGAAAAACTAAATAAAAAGCTAAATTACATGTTGAAAATTTTAAATATATTTTGTTAAATTTTAAATATAATAAATTCATCCATCTTAGAATATATATTAAATTAACACATTAGAAATTATTAAAATATTTTACAGAATATAAAAGTCGTCTATCTACTGAATATTTTCACGAATGATTTTATGGGCGGTCGATTTTCTAAAAATGAATATATTAGCTCAGCATAAATAGAGCCATATACATGCATACTTTTGCATGCATACTTTTGCATGTATTTGTGAATGTATCTTTCCAGTTTCATTCCACGCTAGTTTCAAATTTTGCAATTATTTTCTTTAATAATTAATGGTTCAAAAAGTTGTTGATTAACTTGCGACATTTGCCACTCTTTGTAAAGCCCAGGTCAAACAGGGATGCAAGGGAGTTGACGAGAGTCGTTATTGTTATAGGGACATTTCAAGCTCTAGATTAACAAAATAAAGGTATGACGAGTCTTCCAACTTCCAACCATGTTTCAACTCACATACAACACATGATAGTGTTTTAAAAAAAAGCATTAAGAACAGCAAACCAAGGTCATTTGACAGCCCGAACTCTCTCATCAAAGCTCATTCTTGTTTGACCAGGCCTTAACATGGCTGTATAAACACAACAAGTGCGCCAGAATGCTCTCTCTTAATTCGTTTGTCATTTTAGTTTCATGAAGAAAGTTGTAGATGATCCGATCATTTAACTTTAATCGAATGCCGAAATATAATCGATTATTCGGTTAAGCTTTTAAAACATACTCCAAGTTTTTCTTATATCAGCAACACGTCTTACGCTCCACCGCAGTGCTTCTTGGTATGCCTTTACCAATATCCCCATTCTCAGCAGGGAGAACTGTTACGGGAGAAGCTGGTAGAGGACTTTCTGCTCTGTACCAAGGTGTACCTGGTCGTATACGTTCTTTTTGAGGTCGTTTTGAAAGAATCGCTGAAATAACGAAGTTCATCGCATCATCTGAAAAAAAAAACAAGCAATGACCGAATCGAAAACTATCCGTACCTTTTAGGAACGCTATTTTCAGAGGAATCATTACAACGGAGAGATTTTGTTTCGCTCAGCTTCTGAAAGTTGTACATTCCGTATCAGATAGGTGATTTTTCGCATCGCTAAGCCTAAGGAAAACTATCTGATATAGTGTAAACATAGTCTCAGTGTAACAAAGCATACATAAAAATGTATTGGGTGAAACTGAAAGCACCTTTAACTCACTGAGCTCCTTGACGAGTAAAATAGTCTGGTGTGTGTAGTGTGCCATTATGGCACAGTGCAACTTAATTGGTTAAACCTGTTGTCATCATCTTGTAACAATTGCAAGTTATGGCAGTCGTTCCAAAATTCTGATGTAATCTCAATACGGCCGCTTCAAAAAGTTGTGCTTCCTGCACTTACCAATATTTCCGTTCGTCTTGGCGGAAACTGGAAACCTTATAAAGAAACACACAACAATCACCTTGATGTATCGAAGGTTACGATTGGCATTGCACTTGAGGGCCTGACAGGTTTGTCAGTTTTTAACTGCTTATTCGATCATATATCAAAGTAGATCAGGTAGCAACCTTTAGAAGTTTGGCTATTTACCCATTTAGAATAGAAGTTGCGAAACGGGTGCACCACCGGCACTGGGTCCGAGTATCCTCGTCAACTCCGCTAACTCCGACCATATAGTAAATTTTTCAAAATTGTTTATTATCTGTCATCAAACTTGAATATTACTACTGTTTGAAAATTTACCATTATGTTGTATTTTATTAAAACTGAATGGTACCCATAACTCACCATCCTTCTAGCCCATGCTCATCACAAAATGTAGTTAAGTAAGATTTATCATACCCAACACCGTTCATGTCACACTAAGAACAAGATATGTAAACGACATATATTGACGCGGTTACATCAATAGTAAATGTTGAGAAAATTTGGATAATGGAATAAGAACAAGAAAATTAATACTTCAATAATGCGTTTTGAATGGCTTTTAAAGATTTACCATGTTGAAACCATTCATGGAAAAACTGAATTCTTGCCAATATTACCAGGTGATCTCGGAACTCGGAAAAGGCCTGGCACCATTTGTAAAATAGAAATCCATTTCTGGTTTAAAATTACTCAATATCTCATCAACGGTATTGGATTTCTATCTCAAATTTGTCCCAGATATTCATTTCCCTGTGAAAGACACAGATACAAAGTTTCAAAAAGTTTCACAAAAGAATCAGGGCGTGACAAGTGATTAAATGCACGAAAATGGATTTCTATTCTGTTGCTAGTCCCAGTCCTTTTGCTCAATGTCAGATCACCTGGTAATTATTATACATTTCCCAGATGGTAAATTGGTTTAATTGTTCGTAGAAAGGTTTTGTAGATGGACATTTTGAGTGTGAATTTTATATATTTATTAGACCTAACCAGAAGCAGTTGCAAAAAATGCAACTATAGGCCCTCTCGCAGGGCCACAGGTTCCTACAGTGGCGGACACTAGGAGGTTACGTACCTTATTAGCTAAGAGGACAATTGGTATGGGTTCTTCGTCTTCAGTCAAGACATTCTGCATTAAATCATTGTACCACTGTATACCAAAGACATATTTTTTCAATAAAATCATAGGAGTGATAGAAAAAGTAACAGTAATGAGAGAAAATAAGAATTAGATATCTTTCAACTTCAAGATGTGAACAAAGGCATTTAATACTTATAATCGGGGGTTGAAGCCAGTGGCAAAGCTGTCCATAGCAACAGGTCATGATATGTGCTATGCACCTTTAACAAATTACAATTCAAAATTAAAAAATTATTTAAAAAATTATAGCTGACCTTTAGTACAGCATTCCAAGTATCTGGCCTGTTCCACAGAAAGGACAATAGCAAATAATTAGCAAAGAAAAGAATGATATACAGAAAAGAAAGAACACCAATATTCAATAAAAAATCTAAATAAAGTTATTAAAATTGTACCTGGATAAGTCATAAACAATAAATGCTGCCATCCTATAAAATAATGTCAAGACAATAGTACACTAAGCCACTTAAGGCTCTTTTGCAGATGCATACTAATTCTCATGTGGCGAACTTAACGTGAGAATTATAGGTACAACAGAAGATTGACAAATGAATCAGTTAAGTATAGGGTAGAATTTCAAGTGACAAAAGTTTGACACAAGTCAGCAGAGCTTGTTGTATTGTGTGACATTTGATTAATTTTGCATTGGAGCATTAATTGATACCAAACACCGCTCCACCCATGTGTCAATCCAAACTTAACTTTTTTGTAATTTGTTAGTATTAGATTAATTGGTAGCCATCAAGATTGTAACTAAAAAATTGACTTATTTGTTTTTGCATTTTATTTATGACTCTTGCGCAAATGTGCCGCAACCTTGTCAAATCTAACAATCTGTCTTGTCTTGTTTTTCTTCGTTTTTCATATATCTCTTTTCAACCAGTTGTTAATTCACACTGGTAATTTCTCCCAGTACAGCAAGCAATCTTGTGCAAGAATAAGAATTGTCTGCTTACAATATGAGCCCACACATACAAGTGGAAGAATGTATCCGAAGAAAATTTGCCACATTTGACCAGCGTGATGTTTAAAGCTGTTACTTACTAATAGTTGACACTTATAAGTTCTTTTCTAAGACTCCTCAAAATGAGTCTGATATAAATGAATACTTACGCATATTTATAATAGACCCTGGTCATGTGACCATAACGCTCATGGCCAGCCACATCCCTGAAAACAAAAAAAAATATATCATAAACATTTAAATAACATTAACAATTACTACTGAATTCTGCATTAATTACTTAGTCATTAATAGTTTCATTGATAAAGTGCTCAATAAAAACTACAGCAATTTTAATTAAAATGTTCAATAATTTCCTTTGAATTATATTCAGTATATATTTGTTCATTAAAAATTGCAGTAACACTAGACCACTGATTCAAATCACTCTTACCACAGTTGAAGGTGTATTTTTGATTTCAAATCCCAATCGACAACTTTTAATGCAAAATCAGCACCTAACGTTGGTGTGTAACTTGTCAAAAAATGACCTGAAAACACAAGAAATAAAATTCAAAAGCCAAAACTCCACTGGTCACATTGTTGTACCAAAGAAGCATCTCAAAAGTGGGAGGGGCACTGCCTCAAAGGGGCAGTGAAGAATTCTCCATCTTTTGGGAGTGGGGGTTCAAAATATCCTGATGGTACAATTAATGTAAAAAACAAATATATTGGTCAGGCATCCCATTATTATAGAGATCACTAGCTATGTTGGCAAAGACCATTCAGGTTATATACGGTATATACCTACCTTGTGTATATCGACGAATAATTGAAGTCTACTTGCATGAAAAGAAAATTAGAATGTTGTTCAGTAATTGTGTTGAATATATTATGTTGAGTAGTTTGATAATTCACCCTGATAGCCATACAACTTCAACATCATTCGATCATCTTACCTTTCCTAAAATATAACATATACACTTAAAACCATGCAAGTATATTCCTATGCATGATTCCAACATATTACCCTTTCAAGCATTTGTATGGCCCTATTGTGCATATGATTACAGGGCTGCCAATCAACATGATCGGGAACTTTGGGAACATTATTTCAAGCCCAGGATATATTTATATATTTATTTATAATATAGCATTTGTAAATTCTGAACGCTGATTGGCTAAGAGCCGTGTTGATATAACTCCATGTCAACACGGGAAATTTTCCGCCGCTTGTAAACACGGAAATTTTTCTTATTCTTCGGGCTTTTGACATTGTTATATTATAAAACAAATATAAAACATTTTTCCGTATTGATATATAGTTATATCAACACTCGTGGAAGTTGGGAAAACTCGAAATTGTGTGAAAACACTCCGCCCTTCGGGCGTCGTGTTTCCACACAATTTCTCGTTTTCCCAATTTCCACTCGTGTTGATATAACTGTATATCAACACGGAAAATGTTTTATATTTGTTAAATACCAATTGGCTTAATTTACCCAATGAAGGCATCAAGTCAAAATGGAATAAAAAAAGTATGGCCAAATTTGAAAGGTTGCCACGTAACCATGGTAGTCCTCTTCGCAGACGTTCTTATTGCTCCAACCCTTGTTAACGAATGTCTGCTGAACTGAGCTGCACATTCCATTCCCTCACATTGACCAATCATCGAACCTTCTGAATTTCGGGGAGTGAAAGTTATTGTCTATTAATATACAGAAATGCACAAACTAATAAAAGAATTAGGCTTCTAATTGGCTTTTGCCCTATAAATCACTGCAATATGATTGGCACCTGAAACAAAGGGAATGGAATGTGCAGCTCAGTTCAGCAGACGTTCGTTAGTACTGTGACTGCAGGGTTGGTAGGTTTACTGAATAATTAGGCCAAACACTGTCACACTAGGCCTTTGTTTTCTTTGTCTTGGCCTTTTGTTTTCTTTGTTTTCTAAACAGCACTAAAGACGATTTGGCCTAATTATTCATCTTACTTACCAACCCTGTTAGTGAGGGTTGGAGCAATAAGAACCATGCTATGAGTGGAGTGACGTTTGATCTAGGCCTAAATCATTCATTTGGAAGTGCTACCGTATCAAAGAACCGAACGATCCTAATGATTAAATGTGTATTTGTTGAAGTTGTTATTAGATTTTTGAAATTTATACGATATGAACTCTTTGTAGTTTAAAAACAGCCTCGAACAGTTAAATTATGATATCAGCTAATAGCTATTTTTAATACATGTAAATGGCAATGTCGATCAGTCAAAAATTGTCAAAACAATCTGTATTAAGTACTTAATAAGTGCTTTCGAATCTGGATATTAAAAAACTGACCTACGGACACTTCCCCAACAACCAAAACTTTAAAATTGTACTCTTGTACATCATCAGCATCCTCGTACATTTTGAACCAACATCACACTGACAAAAACAGACAATAACCTCATCACGAGACAGCTATATGTTTCAAAGTACTAAAACATATTTACATGATGATGCTTTCTCGGAAAATTATGGAATTTGGCTACAGTTCCCCCCTGTCAAACAGGGACTGTCCCGCTCCACAGTTAATCATAAATTGAAAATGAAACAAAAGATCCGGGGGGAGTTCACTCCTGGTTCACTCCGCACTCACCTTTCACATACGTCCGCTTCCTACTTTTGCCTCGGTGTCTAGTAGCTACAGAAAGTCAGAAACCTCTTTGTACCCTTACTTTACACTATCAAAGTTTCTGTGATTACAGTATGAATTTTGTATTGGTAAATGTAAAAAATCTTTGTGGGAACTGACTCAGTTTGTGGGAACTGGGGCTGTCTCAGACCCGACTCAGTTTTTACCACTGAGTCAGTCAGCCCACGAACATTTCTTACAAATCCTTCAAAACTTACAATTTACCATGCAAAATTCCTACTGTGACTACAGAAACTTTGAGTCTTTGATAGTGTAAACCAGCAATTAGTACCTTATTTTAGAGAAATTGTTCTGGTGGCCTTCGTGTAATTTGGGTCAGAACCATCTGAAATTTTCCGTAATAACCCTTTCGATAATTACGTCACAACTACACTGTTATCAACTTAGGACCATCTTAAATGGAAAGGACTTCAAGTTTTTTTCTCATGGGCTATCCACAGAGAAGCAGAACATCCTTCTTCAACACATGCATGAAAAATATTTTTTTATTTTGACCAACAAATGTGGAAATAAGCATTAACACGAAAACGAGGCTGCCTCGTTTTCGTGTTAATGCTTATTTCCATATTTATTGACCAAAATCCAAAAATTTTTCGCGCATGTGTTGAAGAAGGATGGCTACTTCTCTGTGCATAGTCCATGAGAAAAAATCTTGAAATTCTTTCCATTTATAAGGTGGTCCTAAGTCGAAAACGGTGTAGTTGTGACATAATTATCGAAAGGGTGTATTCAGTTGGTCGTGTCAATGTAATTCAATTGAATTGCAATCTTGGACTGTTGAGACTACCCTTCCATACCTGAAAATATAAATAAATCATAACACATATACATACTTCACTGAAATCTAATAATCGAAAAAGTTCCCATATATGTAGCTACAACAAGAAGACAGTATCAGAAATAAGAGTGAGAATTCAAAGTTATTTATTGTACACTTGTGAAGTTTTCCTTGGCGTCCGTACGCACGAACAAATTTTCCTTGTCCAAAAGTTGGCACGACTAGCTTTCGGAACAAGGCACTTTGGCCGGGAAAAATTGTCAATTTTTTGCGCCGCGTACACACGAGCAAATAAAACTTGTCACGGAAAACTTGCCCTTCTGAACGGGCTTTATGCAATCTAAAACCAAGTCATAAATTATCGCTATAAAGAATCAATATTCTGATGATTATCATTATAGCTTTAATCACAATATACTTTTCATGAATACGTACTATAACTAACCTTAACATCAATATAGAGAACATGATTAATTTTGCCGTTTGCTTTTTCGGTGAATTCCGCGGTCCCATGAGAAGAATACAATCACATCCTGCTGTATTTGGAAACCTATCTTAATTCGGGGTTTTATTGCAAGAAAGAAAAGAAGTTCAATTAATATATTGTTTGTCTCGTTAGCCGAAATTTAGCCGAAAAATTACAGAAAATGTAAATTGAATAATATTTTCATTTTTGTTGGATAGTGTGTGTGACCAGGAACGGTAGGCAGTGCCAATAATAACAAAACTTCAGCTGATAGGAATGCAACTACTGGAAAAATACAAGGGTCACAAGTAGAACTTCGACGTTTCGAGATTTGTGAACAGGGTTCAATTCCTACAATATAGAGTTGTCTGTTACTCCCAGTTTTTTGTTCAATTTCCAGTTTGATCACAGTGGAAATGGATTTTAATTTTCGATTCTGCCAGGATGGCGACTGGATAAAAAAATCGCGACTCTGCTTGTGACGTAACATCAGTGGATGCCAGTGCATGCCAAATAATCCAAGATGGCGGACAATAGCTACCTTATTTTATCAGTTTACACTGCAAGCTCAGTAGAGTCAAAACGCCTCCATAAAAGAGTCAACACGATCCCCAAAAGAGTCGTTATGGGGTAAAATTTGACCCCAGAGCGACTCTTTTCCGTTCGTTTTGAATTTATAGTTAGTGTTACTTAAAATGAAAAAAACTAATCTGTATATTCCATATCAAGGGGAGAATTTGCCAGTACGCATTGTTTTTAATCAATATAGAGTAGACAATAATAAATATTTTGTCTGTTGAATATTATTCATATTATATCTGTACTATTTTCCGATTGTGCTTATCTTTCCGGATCCCGGCTGTGTGGTCGAAGCGTTATACTACTCAAATCAAACGCGTATGGCGTCACACTGAGTCAAATCGAGATAAACCGATCTTAATAATATATTACATTTGTAAATTTGATTGTATTTTCAATTGTAATCGACCCCCTGAACTCTGAAGCTGCAAATAACTTCTTATTGGTCTGCTCTGCACTCCAGCATCCAGACAAGTTGCCCCAAGAAAAAAATCCCATAACCATGTTTATTAGAGTGTTGATAAATTATTCTGGAATTTTGCTAGCAAAAAGACACGTATTTCGCTGGCTTGCCTCGTTCTTTTCTAATCTTATAACCTTTGTGTTTTGCCTCCTCGATTATTACGATTAATATTACTTTTCACCGTATGAAATCAATTCTTGATTTTTCTGTGTGATTAAGTTCAAGGTACGTGTGATTATTAATTCCAGACACTGACAGTTTTGTTTGAACCACTCCAGGACAAGAAGTCCTTGACTTGTGTGAGCCAGCAATCAGTAATTTGACTATCTCTTAAACCGTTCATAGTCAATCATAGATGTGCCAATAAATAGAATTACATTCCGAACTATCTGCTCGAACAGTCAAAGTATAATTGCAACATATTATACATGCACCTGCCTGAGACAAACAAATCTCTCTCTCTTTGTCGCTTTTGATGAACTTTTCAATAAAGTGTGCGAGGCATGCGATTTTTAATTAAAAGGTGAAAAAATGATAAGTTTGTTGAGATATTAATCAACTCAACCTTTTTCTAACTATATGCCATTGGACGTACATCATAAACGTTTTCGAATTGCATATTAGACGGAGTGCTTTCTCAGAATGTTATCCTGAAAGAAAAGGTGAACTGATTACTCCAAATTACTTGCATCGACAAGGGCAGCTGAATTATAGAACCGTCTTAAACAGTACTACTGAGCTGTTAAGCGGTGCTTAAAATAACGGGTTTTGGAGGACTTGTCAGTTCCAAATTTGTCGGCTAAATAGCAGGTGAGCCACGAATTATTGTTCCTCAGTTATCTGATATGTAATGTCTTCATTTTCGATCAAACACGTCGCAAACAGAGAAGGGGTAAAATAGAAATACAGATCTGCTTAATTTTTGGAGTGAGAAAATGGGATTTGGGTTACTGGGACTGGGAATGACAGACACAAAAATGGGAATAGGAAAACCCGTATACCATTGAGAAGACGGTCCGCAGTTGGACATTTCATAGTTTAAATAACTTCAAGGAAAGCCCCGAAGCAATTTTTATTGAGAGCTTCCGTGTCTAAAATGGTCATTTTTTTACTATTGCGAGTCAGCGATTTGTTTTGTATGTGACAGGATCTCGTAAATGACAGGTATTTATTTAAACTTTAATTAATTCGTTAATTATTTCTAGAGAAAGCTCACTATTGAAATGGCAGAATATTGTGTTTTAAAAGTCAAAACATGGGTGAAACAACTGCTCAGGAATATTCTTTTAAGTTTGCTGTTGAAACTGGGATTTGGCAATGGGCTGGAAAATAAAATTTAAACCCCTCTTTAGGACTCTCCAATTGGAGGGACTTTCCTAGCTAAAGTAATAATCTTGTGCATGATTTGATGCATAAATCAACAAATCCTATCTTTCTTAGACAATGAGAATCCCTCAGATTCTTTGGTGCGTCATCTACTCTTTACGCCTAATCCACAGTGAGAAATGCGTTTCAAAATACTTCAAAACACTTCAAGGTCGCAGACGTTTAGGCACACCAGTCGAAACGATTTCGACAAAAAATGAAATTATGTGCGTCGTGAGATGTACGAATGGCTGCCAAGCCATTAACTTCATCAACAATGCTGAGTTACAACGTTGCGAACTTTTCAGTGAACATCAAGTTGGACAAATCATAAACGATGAATTATCAGTATATTATTATGCTTTGGACATTGGAGGTAGGACCGTTCACCATTTATACCTGCATGGTAATTGTACTAAAGAAAAGCAGTGCAGATTTCGTGTAAACTAAAATAGTTTCGTATAATAGCCCCGTAACCGCACACAGATCATTTCAATTCCTTCCTGCCAATACGCGATCGATATGATTGTTGCCAAATTTCGATTTTTGGGAAACAAAAAACATTGATCTGCATTTATCAGCATGTCACCATATCCAAATACGATTCTTGGTACGAGTAACATTTGAATTATTCTAAGACGAAATGTAATATATCTTTATGGTAAAAAACTATATCTTGATCAATTTTTTTACTGACAAATTTCCTGGATATCATGATGCCACAAATGAACGTTTGGAGTCAAAAAGAAAAGAAACAAATTTGCAGTTCATCAAATGACATCATATGCAGAAATTTTGACAGAGTGAAAAAGTTGATCAAGATGAGGTTTTCATGTTACGTCATGTCTTTTTGAAACGATCTAAACTGGCCATATCAAAAAAATTACAACGAATACTGGCTGTGGCATAACATAAACGTTGAAAGTTGAAAACGTAGAAACGAATTCTTCCTAGGATGCAAAACGTATTCCCACAACAATACTTGCAAGGGTAAACATTTGAGCCAATGTTTGTTACAATGTTTCCAGGTTGTTTCAGCGTACTTTACTCCAAATCTTCATTTTCATGGTTATCCGCCGCAAAAAATGTGTATTATCAACTTATGATAATAACTTGTACGTTTTTAGATGATACAGATAAAACTCACGATATTGTTTCAGTATCATCAACGGCCCATGCGCCTACCTTGATGACGTCATTCAGTGCGCCCATTTTACCTTCATCTGCACTTCTTTCAATAACGTCATCCAGTGCGGCCATAATACCCTCGTCTGCAGTTCCAATAATGTCATCCAGTGTTGCCACAATATCCTCGTCTGCAGTTCCTCCTTCAACGACGTCATCCAGCGCGGCCATATTACCTTCGTCCGTCGCTCTTCTTTCAATGACGTCATCCGTTACGTCGCCAGTAGCTACCAGTATGCCAGCAGTTGGCTGCAAGAAAATTTTTCAAGATAATCCGTAAGTAATGCTTTCTATTAATGGACTTTCTTATTAATAGGCCAACGTTACCGGTTGAGCTTGGGCGGCACCAACCTCGTCATATCAACATAGGTAAAAATTGGCAAAACACAAATTTTTACATTCCTATACTCTTAATATAATTCCCACCATCGATAATCATATTCACATTACTTCAAAACCCAATATTCAACATTCAATGTTCAATATTCATCTTCTGATGTTGAAATATTCATAAGAAAAAGTTGAAAAGATTACAAGTTAAGTCGTTAAAATCGTTAAAATAGCTCATTAGAGACACTTTGAAGTTTACTTCATTTCTAAACCATTGGTGATGTTTTGTATGTATTTCCAGCGAGAACATGCTCATGGGCGTTGGAAGCCTGGTAGACTTAGGGCTTCCTAAGCTCCTGAACATGCTGAAACTTGCATACCTCACTAAGCTCAGGTAGTATATGGTTCGTATGAACAAATGAACAACGTTTATCTAGTTGAGAATTCCAAGAGGACGAGAGTTCACAACTCCTGGCTACGTTTACACCATTACACTGCACCGGATGCGAGTTGCGTAGCATGACCATCTATATATTCCATAAAGCATTTACTACAACCATGAGTATTATCATTTCTTTCTAGAAGCTCTCCAGACGGCAAATACACAATATTTGGTGGCACAGGAAACGAAGCTCAAGTATTTTGTGATATGACTGGAACGTCTACTGGCTGTAAAGGTGGTGGCTGGACTTTGGTCATGAGGATTGATGGCCACAAGGTATGGACGAATGTAGAGCCATGGTAGGAAGTCCATAACAAACAACGATTAGACATTAATGTTCGCTTACTGTAGAATTCGCACCCCCAGTTAAAAGGCCAAAAGGTTTGGAAATTTGATGGAATTAATTAAAATAAAACATTGCTATTGGTTGTTTGAGCAACAATACACACGCAACAATAAACTGAATATTTTTTTGCATATACTGGCTACACACGTAGAAATCTCACATCTCGTCAACAAGATGCGTTCGCGGTTCGGTTCGCACTCTTGTTCCCAGTTGTTGACTGGAACAAGTTATTAAATGGTTAACAAGGTTGATGAGGGCAACAGACTCACAACAAGTTGCTCCAACAAGTCTGATATCGTCTGCACCGACTGCACGTTGTTAACAAGTTGATGACAACGAGCTCGTAGCAACTTGTTACGAACAAAAACAACTTGGCTTGTCACAACAACTGGGAACAAGCAGTGCGACGAACACAACCTGATACCCAGCAGCTTGATTGCTTGAAACGAACCGCTAGTAATTGATAGTTCTGAATTCATGCAGACAAGAGATATTTCCCGATCGAGTGAAACCCCACAAACAACTTTCTTAACGTTAAAACGTTTATTAAAAATGCAATAAATTTTTGACGAGTTGGCTATTGCATTGGATCCGAAAAGCAGATAAAATCCGATTGTATAAGGCTACGTTTACACTCTATCGGATAGTTTTCCGTATTGAAAAAAACACCTATCCGTACCTTTTAGGAACGCTATTTTCAGAGGAATTATTTGCAACGGAGAGATGTTGCTTAGCTCAGCTTCTGAAAGTTGTACATTCCGTATCGGATAGGTGCTTTTTCGCGCCGCTACGGAAAGTAAGCAGTGTAGGGAGTATCAGTGAACTGCAGTTTCTTTGGTTGTTAAGGCTCGGTCGATTGAAGGTTACGTCACGGCGGCCATGTTGGTATATCAACAAAAGAACTCATTCTCTTTCATTGAATTTGGCATCAAGATGGTCTTTTTATTGTCTTTTAATTCCCAAGGGGCAGGTTGCAATCCACTTATAACACTAGCTCTGTGTTCCTATAAATCTCGAAAATCAAGTCACAAGCAATGCCCCAAGAACATCTCGGTAATTTTTTTTTGCTTTTTATAGCAAACATTTGAATATGGCTCCTTTCGCTGGACGAACAAACAAGATTATCAACCACACTTTGGTCAATGGTTGGACCGCTCTGAGGAGACAAAACTGTCCACCTATCACACCACATCTTTCACACAAATATGCCTTGGTATGAAACATAACAATGAAAAAGGATGGACAACGCTTAATTTGACAAGCACATCTCTGTTTGATCTTATATCAAGTAACACATATCACGCAATTGATCTTGCCGTTCCAGAATGGATAGGGCTAATTCCTTCAGGTGCTGTTCTGCAGCCAAAATGCCGTATTCAGGGGATAAACGTGGTACGAGGGGACACTGGTGTTCGTATAGGGATCATAGCGACCAAGACATGCGGGATAAATGCTGATTATAATTCCAGGCTTGGTTTTGGCGCGAAAGGCAAGAGTTGTGGACAAGATGGTACTAACAGATGCGGCAACGATGCTCGATGCGGCGGCAGTCAAGCTTTGAGTAAAAAGACCGTGGGTTATATTTTAGTCAAGTGATATTTTTACTAAGGAATATGCATAAATATATAATATACTAAATAATCATGTACGGGTAATATGGTTATAGTCTATAGGTCCTGAAAAGGGGGGTGTCTAAATCCCACTTTCTGCAATTAAATTCAAATAGACTTGGTAGTATGCAATACACTCGCAATAGCAGCAGAAAATAACCTCATGAGCTGGAAAATGCAGTCTCTTCGGATTTCAAATTTATTTATTACATTAATTTAAACTCTTACATTGTCATTGGGCACGTGAGCCGAAACTTTCGCCTCACACTCAACAAATATTACGATTACTGTAACATGCTACGTGATAAAATGATATGCATGTCAATATATTTATTTAAATTGCATGTAAAACAAAGTTTTGACGAAATATTTGAATATTCTGAGACCAATTATAATTAAGATGTTTATATAAAAGGCCGCCATTTGCCGCCATGTATAAATCGGCAAGGCCACCATGCATGCATGTATATATAAATCATTGACGTCGCAATAGCAAAAAAAAAAGACTAAAATGGCGAGTCTCCTCGGATTTCAAAGTTAGCACTCCACAAATATGAACAATTACTGTAATTAATGAAAGTTCATAGTTAGAGCGTGAGACCGACTAGACTCACCGAATAACGAATCCAATTACTATAAATGTATAATTGGTAAGTAGATGTCTGTAAATTAATTTTTAAATTACATGTAAAACAAAGTTTTGACGAAATATTTGAATATTTTGAGACCAATTATAAGATGTTTTTATCGAAAAAAATAACTGTTATCAATAAATAATGAACACTTGTTAAGGTCATTATTATAAAGGGCAATGGCGACACGTTCATGAAGCAATTAAAGCCGGAGAATGTGTCATGCACAAACCTTGCAAACAGTCATTCCTTAACAGTTTTCCTACAGTGTTGTTGTCTCCATTACGACAGCTGGAAAAAAATTCAAACTCTGCATATTACAGGTAAGTTGCTATGAAATTAACATCTGTATGTGCCAAGAATATTAATAATATCATCTTGAAATTCATGCAAGATTAAATTAGAACAAGACCAACTATTGAAAATATTTCTAACTTTTTAGCGGTTTACCCAAAAAGATTGTCTCATGCAGGTTAACCAGGAATTTCTTACCAGAGAGTAAATAAAATCCAATAAGTAATTGGCAAGTACCCCCACGTTCAAAAAATATGTCAATAAATTTATTTAAAATGAAACAAAGTTTTGACGAAATATTTGAATATTTTGAGATCGACTATGTAAGTTGTGCGCATGAAGAACAAAAAGGATTATTCAGCGCCCACAATAATTAATGTAATATTTATTATGGGAATTATATTAAAAAGGCAATAGTGCCAATACTGCCGACACGCTCATGAAGCAATTAGAAAGAATTGCAAAAAGTAATTCTTAACAGTTTTCCTACAGTGTTATTGCCTCCATTACGACAGCTGGAACAAGATTTGCAAACTCAGCATAACGGATAGGTAAGTTGCTATGAAATTAACTTCCGAATGTCGCAAATTGGAATCATCCTCCAACATTTCAATGAAAGTAAATTCGTTCTCTTTTGAAATTGTATAGTCCTACAGCTGTTGTGAGATTTACTCTGATCATAATGAATACTTTAAATTATACTGGGCCTATATAGACCATTTCAAATAGCTGCCAATCAAAATTAATAATCCCGCAACGTTTGTGAAAAAAATTATACGAATATAAGCCTTCTGATTTCTTTATAACACTAACATTTTTCTTAATGTTAAATTACCGAGTGCAAAAAGAATATTTTTTACAGCCACTAAAAATGGCTCGCGCTCAAAAATAGGGGCTTAAATGTGATGTTCCATATGAACTACAGTATATATCAAAGAACAAAAAACTTGATGCCCAATATAGACACTGATCTAATAATACTATAGGTCCTTTCTGGATTGTCTCGGACGCTAGAACGTGGACTTTTTGCTTCATTAACATTTCAGACCATTTCATGCTTGGTAATTTCATGCATGATTGGCTGATTGCTTTCATACATTTCAAGCATGATTTAAGTATAGGATAGACAATGGTCACGCGTGTTCATGCAGATCGACTCCCGAGAATTAGTTAGACAGATCGCAATCACCGCAAAGGATTATTCAGTTTCTTTATATTTTGAGATGTATTTTTTTATTATATGAGATGATCAGTATGCTCTATATAACGAATACTAACAAGGCTTAATTTGCTTATCTTTTGCCGGATTCTTCATTAGTATGCTGTATGTAGAGAATACTAGCTGGTGAACCACAATTGCTATCAAGCTCGCTTTCGATACTATAAGCGAAAGGGGTTTGCAATGTCTGGAATAACTATAACATATGATCGTATTTTCGGGTAATAGTTTTTCTTCAAACCTCGTCTCAGAATGCGAGAAATGTTGTTCTATAAAGACCCTCATAGAAATTCAACTAGCATGCCTCCATCCTCACCTCCCCCCACCACACATTACAGTTCTCGTGTCATTGGTGCTTGGATTTTGAATTTATGTTTCCTTTCTCCTCCCGCTCGCGCACACCCACCAAAGACCCTGGCTACGCTAACACATAAATCGATATGAAATCTCCTGAATGACTCAACGAATTTCTTTTCTTAGACAAAATGAAGATCTCTCCAATTCTTTGGTGCGTCATTTACTATCTACGTCTTATTCAAAGTGAGAAATATATTTTTAAATATTTCAAAATGCTTCAAGGTTGCAGACGTTTAGGCACACCAGTTGAAACAATTTCGACAGAAAGCGAAGTCATGTGCAGCCTGAGATGTATGAATAATGAATGGTGCCAAGCCATTAATCTCATCAACAATGGTGAATTACAACATTGTGAACTTTTCAGTGAAGCTGGGTCTGGACAAGTCATAAAAGATGGACTATCAGTATATTATTATGCTTTGGACAATGAAGGTGATAGAACATTGTAAAACCAATATAGTGATAGTGCCAATATAACTACCTGAAAAATATAAGGAGAAATTCGACGTTTCGAACGAATGCTTCTCGTCGGAGCCCTACGTCGGAGGGCCTTCGCTCGAAACGTCGAATTTCTCCTTATATCTTTCAAGCAGTTGCATCCCCACCAACGAAAGCTTTGTTATGAACATTCTAGTCTGATTATCAGGCTCTTCGTTTTTAAAGTAGAGCCTGATACAAATCTCAATCCAGTGGCGCCACGGGGAGGACTGGGGAGGACACGTCCCCCCCAGTTCTCTTCAAGGTCAATTTTCTAATTTGTCCAAATCCGGTGAGAAAATTTGGGGGGGGGGGTACGTTTGTGACATCAGTCCAGTTATTTAGATCTAACTTAATAAATTCAGTCTTTGTTGTGTGAATAAAAACCGGTATTAAAAGATCTTCGCTTTACTTTTGACAAAAGACCGTTTCATATATGCGGTATTTACCATTAGAATATTGCAGGCACTGATTACGACCGCCGAAGGAAACCCATCATAATGGGTTAACATATTACCCAAATTAAGTGCAAGGGGTAATGTGTGATGCGGAAGTTTGGTCCTGCTGCTGAGATGTGAGGGAGATATGTTAATTAATTAATGCACCGTTCGCGCAACATATGGTCATTAGCTTCTTGGAACGCATCACTACACAACTGAAAGAGAAAAATGTTTCAAGTGAAATTGTGTGTGAGGGAGGCAAATAGAACCTTCGTTTTCGAATCTTGACGGTTAGACCTATTTTAGATTTTTCAACATCGGACATATCGATGAGAAAGTTTACATTCCAAAAGAAATGGTACGAAGAGTACATATGACTAGAATATTCAATGTAACAACTGGAAGATTACATACGAGCATCATAGCAGCGAAGAGAAGGAAAGGAAAGAGTCTAGAGAAAGGGTCCAAAAGAAAGTTTCCACCTTGGATTTGCTTGCCCTCCTTGCTCGAAGTTTTCAGCAAAGATGATCTGCACCACCTTTACCCGACTTGTTTGAGGTCGCTACCTTGCCTGTGACAGTACAGTGGCATCATGTGAACGCACACACAGCAAGGTCAAAATAATAAACAATGATTTGCGAGTTGCCATGTCACCTGATAGACTCGAGGACCTTGTCCAGATTAGCAACGAACGAGATCTAGCCAACAATATTGAACTTAGCAAATTAG